GATGCAGGGGTATTGGGTAACAAGAGGGAGAGGGATGATTATTAGGTGATGGAGTGCAGCGGGGCAGTGGATAATGCAGGGGTAGAGGGTAGCAAGAGATTGAGTTAGAAAGGGCTGTGAGGAGTACTAGAGACATCATCATCAGAGTTTGTGCAGTGAATCAGTTGCTGCCAAAAAGTCATTGAGAGAGTCTGGGTTAAAGGAGGGACCATCAGCATGAAGGGCAGTAGAGTGGTGACGACGTTGGAGGTAAATTCTGCATGCTCATTGATAGAGTGGGCAGTCCAACAGAATGTGGAACCTGACAATTCTCACAAGAGTGCCTCTCCATGAGACACCCGTGAGTAAGACGAGTGTGTCTGAAGCAAAGACGGAGAGAGTAGCCTCTCAACCTCGACACTGATGATAAGAATACGGCCAGAAACCTATACTCAGATTAATAGAGTATAGTAGATCAGACCAGTGTTGTTGCCAACGAGTGTGAAGGTGGGTAGCAATTACAGTAAAATAGTCTGTGAATAGAACACCTCTGTATGAAACTGGGAGGTCATGTACCACTGACCACACAGCAGTGTCTGCCTGTAGGAACAACATGACCAGGGACCCAAGAAAAGGCAATACCTTTGTGCTTGCTAGAGATACGGCATAACCAAAGTTGGATACGAAAGAACCAGGGAATGTGGTGTATCAAATTTTGTATAGCCTGTAAAACACTAAGGGAGTCTGAAACAATCACAAGTGGTGACACAGGCATAGATGCAATGTGGATAAGTGCTATGAGAATGGCATACAATTCAACCATAAAAATGATATCCGGGATAATAAATGCCCTCACAATACGCTGTCCAGAAACATGGGAACCATTGGTGTACACTGCGATGGCATGAGAATGAGATTGGAAGTGGTTAAGAAAAAGAGAGCGAGAAGCCACCATAGGCAGTTGAGCTCTCATGCATGGCAGCAGGAAAGAACAGACACAAACCGTGGAAACGTCCCAAGGGGTTAGGGAGATGCTACATGAGCATAGACAGGTGGTAACTGAAAAGAAGACGAGCAGAAAAGGGACAGAGTAAATAGGTGTGATGAACAAATAAAGAACGTTCTACTAACATAAGTGACTGACTATCCTATATATGGAAGGATTGCAGAGGTCGTGAGTGAACATAATAGTGAAGGCAATGAGTATCACGGCGATCAGACAAGGATGGAATATTTGCTGCTGCATAAAGTCTCTCGACTGGTGAAGAGCGAAAAGCACTGAGGTATTAATGTAATCCCTGGGATTAAGGCTAGAGAGAGTTGCAGAAGAGGCCACTGAATATATCTGGTTGCCATAATCGAGTTTCGATAAAATTAGGGTGAATGTAGTTGAAGGAGGTTCTTCGATCAGCCCCCCATGAAAGATGAGTGAGGGTTTTAGCAAGTTACCTTCAGAGAGGTAATGTGAGGTTCCCAGGTTAGCCTACGGTTTAAACAGAAGGCCTAGAACCTGACCATATCATGTTCTGGGATATGCAAACCATATAGGTACAATGGATGATCATAGACAACAGAATGTTTAGTGAAAGTAATTTGGCGAGTTTTAGTACTAGAAAATTTAAACCCAAGAGTGGTGGCCCAATTTGAAACATGGTTGACTGCATGTTGGAGAGAAACTGAAGTGAGGTGACAGCCAGCTCCTGCACAAGATATAGCGAACTCATCATCAACACAGAGAAATGACCAAATATTGGATGGAAGAACAGAGGCCAGATCATTTATAGCAAGGAGAGAAAGTGTTGTGCTCAGAACACACCCTGGGGGACACCTTTAGCTTGGACATAGCATATTATTATAATCAAAAAGAAGCGCTAAGCCACGAGGGCTATATTATTATAATCAAAAAGAAGCGCTAAGCCACAAGGGCTATACAGCGCTGCATTTTTAACCTGAACACTGAAATTTCTTTCAGTTAAGAAGGTCTTAAGGAAAAATGCTAGATTGCCCCGGAGGCCTAAGCCAAGATGTTATACTTCCTAGTAGTGTCATATGCCTTCTCAGCATCAAAAAAAAAAAAAAAAATATGGCGATCACTGAGTAGTTATTGGCAAAGGCTATTATGGACATGCATAGTAAGGGGTCAATGGTAGAACGGCTCTTTCGAAAGCTATATTGACTAGTGGAGACTGTCATGTCTCTAAATACCACATCAAACATCTATTTACCAGAAGTTCCATCACCTTGCAAACTGCACTGAGAGGCATCATGTCCCGTTGTACCCGGTTGTGGGAAGGAGAAGAATGGCAGATTTCCACAGCTGGGGAAAAAACTCTTGTGACCAAATAAGATTAAAGAGTTGTAAGAAGACAGCAAGGGCTGACTGATGTAATGTTGTAGCATACGAATGCCGTCAGGCCCAGCAAGCTGAGTGTTGCTTCCAGTTCCAGAAGTGTAAAAGGCACATTATAAGATTCTTCTCTGATAGAAGAAGAGTTTAAGGGCTCTAACTCTCTGGCAGGTTTTGAGGAACAAAACGAGTGGCATAGATGAAGCCCCGAGAGATACAGACAAGATGATTACCAGTTTCGGTGGCAACGTCAAAAGGGTTTGCAATATCAACAGCGGCAACCCAAAGAACAGGAGCCGGGTCGGGAGAGTATTTACCGCTCAGTTTCCATACTTTTTTTCAGACTGCACTCAGAGATGGTAGAAACAAAATCGTGCCATCAAGTGTGTTTAGCATCACAGATGACATGGCGAGCAACTGCCCCAAAATCAAGGTCTCTCTCTGTGGTTCTATTGTACAGGTACCTGCCCCATGCAAATAATAGTAATGATCTTTCATATTGTTTATTATTAATCAAAAAGAAGCGCTAAGCCACAAGGGCTATACAGCATCATATTGTTTATAAAGGAATGGAATAACGTGCTTATTTTAACACCCTCAGTATCTTCATCTCTAATGCCAGCACGGATAAAGGAAGCCAGAGACAATCCATACATCAGTATTAAAATTTTAGCCATTTAAGAGAGGTGTGGAAATTATTTAATTTCTGAAGCTATAGTGCCTAAAGTGTTTAATGTGTTGATTTGGGTCAAAATATATTTATATTTTGAATAGAACCAACCGGGTTCGCCCTGCGCCTGCACGGATGTGCGGGGGGACAGGTCGACTCAGGGCATGGGTGGGCGGCAGTGTTTTGAATGTAGTGAGGAGGCTGTGAAAACATGGGATCAGGAAATTGACGTTCACAGCGGCCTAAGGATTAATATAGGCCTCACTTCCTAATAGGAAGTGTCATAACTGTTCCTGGTGAAGAGTGAGGGAACGTGATTTACGTGACCACCATAATAAAGTGGATAATAGTAGGACCGGGGGGTGATGGGTGTGCCGCCATGGAATATTACCCGTGAGTTAATCCTCACTCGTCGGTCTCAGATCTTAATGGAGTGACCTCTAATGTGTATAATAATTATGAGATGTTAAATCGTCTTGTGAATGGTAATGTAATCAGTGATAATAACATTAAGTTAAGAGAATGCGGGAAGTGAAATAAATCGCCCTGCTCCGAGTGAACACGTGGTTCCCATTCCCGAGGATAGTGAAGTTTTATGGAATCACGACTTTTAAACCGGGACAAACCAACGGACACCTCGTCCTGCTGGAATAAGAACCGTGTCAGTGTAGCAGGACATCGAAATGAGATGGTGAATGGAGGAAATAAGGAGCATCAATCGCCCACAGTTAAGTAACCTTACTAGTTATAGCAGACTGATACTGGCCAGTTAAAACATACCTAATTGGATAGGTTATGGGTGATCCAGCCACATCAAGTGACCACCAGAGAATATCTGGTAAGTGGTGGGATTATGTACAAATGTTTTTCCTTGATCAATGTATCCATGTGTAACCTACCCCCCCCCCCCCTTCATTCAGTTAAAGTAATATAATCTATACAGTCCACAATTAATTAGTAGCGCCATACTTGAGGTGCTATCCAATTTATACTGGTCTCAGATAGATATGGATAAGATTGTGAGGGTCGAGGGGCCACCTGCATTGACCAGAGGTGGTCAAGTTTTTCATGTCTACGGTATAAAGAATATAGTTGTTGTCTCCCAATGAGATTACTCGTATGCATGTAATGTTGAGGTATGTACAAGTAATTACCCCTATAAAATTTTCCATAAGAGGCATACTCAAATTATTTTACAGAAAAAAACTATTTAGCACCTAAGCATTTCAATGTGGAAAAAAAAAACAAAAATTGTCATGCATATGCCAAGGTTAACCCCAAAAAAGTGAAGTCAAGACATTTATTAGAGGAAATGTTTAGCCATGAATGGTTTCCTCTAATTTCTTGACTGTACTTGTCTTTTTCCACATCACCATAACATTTCTTATTTCAATACCAATCCTAACCATCTTCTCAAGTAGATGCATCAATGTTGATCAAAAGATTCATTCTCTAGTTATCACAAGACAGTAAAATCTAAGGATGGTTTGTGTAATAAGACATATCCAACAGTTAGATATCTTTATTCTGAAATGTTTCATCTACACAGTAGCTTCTTCAGTCAAATACAGAGGAGTCAGTAAAGCTGTAAAGACAATGTCATCAGTCCATCACTCTCAAAAAGACAATTTTGAAGATGTCAGTCCCTCGGCCTGGAGAAGGACTGACCTCAAAACTACATCTTCAGTGCTTCTGCTTCCTCCTCTGTATTTGACTTGTGAATATGATAATCGTGTACAATACTGACAAGTGTTAAGATAAGATTTCGTTCGGATTTTAACCCGGAGGGTTAGCCACCCAGGATAACTCAAGAGTCAGTGCGTCATCGAGGACTAGCTTATTTCCATTGGGGTCCTCAATCTTGTCCTCCAGGATGCGACCCACACCCAGGTACCTATTTGCTGCTAGGTGAACAGGACATGTGTAAGGAAATGTTTCCACCCGCCGGGAATCGAACCCAGGCCCTCCGTGTGTGAAACGGGAGCTTTACCTACCAGGTATTGATTAGTTTAGTAATCATAGCTTATTAATATCTCTCGAGTTTCCTCTACGGAATATGGAAAAGGGCACTCACCGGTATTAAACTTTTGACCCGATCCGAATTTCCTGCATTTATGCTTGGTCTGATTATTATTAGCGTCAGAATGGTTGACGGGATCTACTGATGACATGTCCAGCAAAGAAGCACGTTGGTGATCAGAAAGTTCGAGAAAAAATTCAACTTTGTGACCATATTTATTATATTTACGATCGTACTGCGACAGTCAGTAAGAAACCAGTCTCTCCCATCTTGGGAGTACCATGGACCTCCATAGCTGTGCGGGTCGTAGCTGGGAAGCGGGAGCATTTTATTTGTTATCAAAAGTCTCGTTGCATTGCTCGCACTATAATCAACAACTTCCATGAAATAGATATTATAATTTTTAATTTTCTGAAGGAAACTCCTGAAGTTTACAGTAAAGCTGACATTTCCGTACCAGTTATTCTGACCATCATCGGGGACGCTGATGCCATACCAGAGCCCACACAGATCTGGTAGTTTTTTTTAGCAGGTGTGTGTGAGTGTGTTTTGTCAAGCAATATGGTTTCATTTTGCCGATTCTCCGTATCTCTCGATAGTCATCCATGTGCACAGTTTCTTACTATATCGTGAAACTCTTCATATGAACTAAACCCTTCAACAACTGGGAGTGAGTCGAGTGAGAATGGTCTCCAGCATGTAAACTTTGTATCATCATTACCACTATGGAGAACTTTATCTTCACATCCTACAAATTCTTCCATCATCTTATTTTACTGGACGCTGCTAAAACTTCCTGAGACCGCACACGTTCCTTTAATCTGGAAAGACAGACATAATTAGGTATAGTTATGCTTATTGTAATATTCATGTACCTGTTATTCCAGTAATTTATCCCACCTTGTAAATAGGACACAATGCAGGTTATGGTATTTTATTGCACAGGGCGTTTCACACACCAGGAACTTTATTAATAACATCCCTAATGGGCAAAACGTCTGTATAATAAAATGCCATATCCCACATTGTGTGATTTATTTATAGTTATGATAATCTAACACTATTTCCTTAATGCACCTCCTACAAGTGTTTACATATTTAACTAGATAGGGTTTGATTGCATTAAGGTGATCGAGAAAGGTATTTCAAGTTTCTTTCCCCAGTATATCTCGTGGTACTTTTTTTTTTATTAAATCTTGAAAAAATAAAAATTAGTACTGCTCTCCCCCTTCCTCGAATCAACCAGATTGTGTCCCATACTCCAGGTACTGTACGGCTTATGTAGGTTTTGCACTACCCAGCATGTGTCGTCCATCTTCACCTCTAACATTCTTCTCCATCTTTGACTTCCCTATATCTTACCTCCCTGTTCTCCTACCTTGACTTTGCTATATCTCACCTCTGTATTCTCCAACCCTCACTTCACTATTTCTCTCCTCCCTGTTCTCCCACCCTCACTTTCCTATATCTCACTTCTATGGTCTCCAACATTGACTTCCCTGTAAGTCATCTCCCTGTTCTCCAGCCCTCACTTACCGATATATCTTATCCAGGATACGTGTAGTTTAGAGGTTTCTCCTGGCGAGTGCACAAGTTGTAGTGTTCTCACTCTTGTTGCGATGCTTCAGTGATGTCTTATCACTCGGTTGCTTGCTGGAATTGTCGTCTCAGTGCGTATCTTCTGTTGAGAATGGATATTATTATTAGAAAAAAGAAGTGCTAAACCTATTAGGGTTAGACTTAGACATTGCCTAGTTTTATATAAGAACTGGGTTAATGCTTTAAGTATTTTTTGTTTTAGGTGTAGTCCCCACTTCCAATTGAATGGAAAATACTCACTCACTAGGTGAACAAGGGGCAGTAGGTCTAAGAAAACATACCAACGTTTTTGGGGCCCCGTGACCTGGCTGGGAAAGCTGTCGCTGAGGGCCCGGGTTTGATTCCTGGCAGGAGTTTTAACATTGGACGCATTTCCTTACACGTGTTGTCCTGTTCACCTAGCAATTAGGTACCTGGGTTTCAGTCGACTGTTGTAAGTCGCATCCTGGGGGACAAGATTGAGGACCCCAATGGAAATAAGACAGTCAGTCCTCGATGACATACTGCCTTTCTTGGGTTATCCTGGGTGGCTAACCCTCCGGGGTTAAAAATCCGAAAATCTTATCTTCACCCGTGCTGAGAATTATTATAATCAAGGGGGAAGCGCTAAACCCGTTGGATTATACAGCGCCTGGGGGGATGTGGAAGGCATTCAGGCTTAATTCGGGGAACTGGAGCACAGATCCAATTCCCTAAATCAAGAGCCCCTCACCAACATCCCGTGCTGAGAAGCGATCCCTGGTCCCTCAGTGTTTAAGACAACTATGCAACAGTTATCAACTTGTTGATATTATATATCATTATTATATTCACTCGGTGTGTGAGCTGAGGATGCTAATACACGAGCCATAAGGAGAATTACCAATAGCTCCCTGGTTGTCTTCATAAGGGAGCTGGACAGTTTAATAACTTTATTCTGCACCAGCTACCTATCCTGTGGGCGGTAGTCAAGAGATTACAACGGTAAATAATGGGTCCAGGGACTGGGCCCCTAAGTTTTGATAGCTGAACAAGTTACAAAGGTAATGAGCTCCAGGTAGATCTGGTCATAATCATGACAAGTTACAAAGGTAATGAACCATCTACACGTCTATAACTTTGGTTACGCTGTATACCCCTTGTGGCTTAGCGCTTTTTTTTATAATAATATCAGGGTTACAATCATAAAACAAATTACAAAGTAATGAGCCATTCACTCGTCCACACGGCCAGATACAGGATCAGCCAGGCTGTGGTTCGTACATTGGACAAACGTGGGGCCAGCAGTAACAGCTAGTGATCAGGCCCTGATTTACCAGGTAGACAAGCAAGTATTGCTCCTCCTGTCAACGCTTATTCTCCACTGTTATCCATCCACCATGAGCATATGGGGTCCGTGAACATGATTGCCTCGAAGAGCTTAGTAGCTACTGTTTTCCTCTACAAAAAATAGTCTACATAAACTATACCACGGGTGGGGTTTGAACCCGCAGTCAGACTGACCACGGGTTCAAACTCCACCCGTGGTATGGTTTGTTTGCAATCCTCTTATTACGCTACATGTTAGATTATTCAAAATTGTATTACGTCTATACCTCTAACTCCTTCCAATGAATGCAATAATTATCTGCCACTTAAAAAAGTAATATCAACTAATAATCTGTATGTAACTATTATAATAATGATATACGATAACGACAAATTAAGTAAAACACATACGCAACCTGCAGTCGGCCTATTTGCCCAACCACACCCACTGATGTACCAGTCCAACCTTTATTTAAAACGAGTGTTCGGGTTCGATTCCCGGCGAGGGTAGAAACATTGGGCGTGTTTCTTTACACCGGTTGTCTATGGTCACCCATCAGCAAAATGGGTACCTAGGTGTTAGTCGCCTGGTGTGGGTCGCATCCTGGGACAAAACTGACAATTTGCCCGAAATGTTCAGCATTAGTTAGTTTAATATGTTTATTATGCACCCCATACCCATCCTGTGGGCGGTAGTCAAAAGATTACAGAGGTACATAATGGGTCCAGGGACTGGGCCTCAAAGTTTTGATAGCTGAGCAAGCTACAGAGGCAATGAACTCACAATTTACAAAGGTAATGAACTCACAATTTACAAAGGTAATGAACTCCAGGTAGGTCTAGTCACAATCATTACAAGTTACAAAGGTATTTACAGATTACAGAGGTACACAATGGGTCCAGGGAACCGGGACCAAATTTTGATGGCTGAATAGTACAAGTAATAACTCACAAGTTACAAAGGTAATTTGAACTCACAATTACAAAGGAAGAATACTGAAGAAAGGGTTACTTACTTTATACATGGCTGCAATCATAAACAAATTTAGAGTAATGACCAATCACACTTCCACCCCCGCACAACTTAGTAGTTATTGTGCAAATTGTTGATTGCTGAGCCCCTTCTCTCTCTCACACACACACACACACACAACACACACACATACAATTCATACACACACACACATAAACACAAAACACACACACACACACACAAACTCATTACACACCGCACACACACTCATACTCACACACACTCAATAACACACATCACACCATACACACACACACACTCATACTCACACACACACAACTCATCACACACCACACATGCACACATGTGTAATGCTTTATTTACAGCTGCAAAGTCAGGGTATTCCTCCAAAGGTCTGTAATAACCACTGGGATAAAATACTTAGCCATTTCTTGAACACTTCTGAGTGAGTTGTTCTAAATCATTAATTTTATCGCACTCCAGTACATAATGACCAGGTGTGACAATAATCCATCTGAAAAGTTACATTTCGTTTTTTTCTACATCGGGTGGGGTTGATTTAAACCTGCCAAAGATACTTGTAACCCAGCCGGAGCCGGGCGGTAGGGGACATCCCAGAGTCTGCTTATTTTGTTGGATCAACCATAGACCATGTGGCTCCTCCTGCATGAATAGAATGATGATAGATGGACTCACGGTGTCAATTCCCTGAAGCCTTAAGTCCATAAAATTCAGCTGAAGTTCTTCGTTTATGTCCTAAAACTACTACCTGACCCAAGATTGTAATTACTCCCTCTTGAAAGCATACAGCTACCCAAATTTTTAAATCAGTTCTATAAAATAAACTAAGACCAATGTGAGATGGAATCCACAGCATTTTGCACTTGACTCCACTGTCCCAATCCTACATACCGTGTTCGGGGTTCTGACACAAGCATGCCACAATTTATGGCTAATGAGTTGAGGCATTTATGGATGACAGAGAATCAGTTACAATTAAACTGTCAATTTTTGATACATAGATGCATTTCAGTAAAGGAGTATGGCAACAGTTCTGGTCTGAAGGGTAGAGGCCCATTATTGGATGCGGGGCTCCAATTTCTTTAAGAGAGCTCACTCTGTACGACAACAAGCAGCACTACAGCTGCACCAGTGGATTGGTGGAACAAAACCCATCAACGTAAAATAATTTGCGAGAGTGTTGCTGTTGACTAAGTATCAAAAACAGCTTAAGCTCATGTTTTGGGCTTCAAGCGAAGTTTTGGTGTGATTTAGAAGTAGTTTGGGGGAATGGAGGAATGGTAGTTTGGAATGGGGTAAATTATGGAGCGGAGAGTGCCGCTGTTGCTTACTTGCCCATAGATCATGTATCTGATCATGGGAGGTCGGTCCATTCTTTTCGATCCATCTGGAGGAGTGTTCACCATCCCTGAGGAAAGTTTGGAGGGCTTCTGTGCAGGGTTGAATGAGCTTTCTGACATATAACCCCCAATAGGAATTTCTTTCGTAACACGATCTCTGATGTTGGAATATCAAGTTCTTTTTGCATATTTAAATTTTGGGCAGTACGAGGGCATCCTAGGATGATCCTCATTGCTTCGTTCTGCATTTTTCCAGCCCTCCAAGCTTCCAGTCAGACACAAGAGCAAGTAGTGGCGCGAGCATAATCAACCAATGATCTAATATAAGCAAGATACATCATTTTCACAATTTTAACATTAGCACCATACCTGGGGTTAAGCCCTGCCACAACTCTAAGTGCTCTTAGTCGTTCTTTGTATTGGCACAAAGTCTTGTACAACAGGTCCAAGTAGTGGAACCTCAAAGCCTAGATACCTGTATCTGCTTAATATTCTAGAAGAGACCCATAAATGCAATTGGATCTGACGAACTGTGCCTCTCTGTCGAGGAGGACGCCTATTGAGTATCTTTGTTTTATCAGTAGGATTAATCAACCCAGGTCCTGAACACGAGGCTAGTACATGATTAAGAATTTTTTGGTGTTGGAGAATCCGGGGGTGTGAATCATTATATCATCAGCAAAACTAATCACATAATTATGGGGCTGACTAGGCATAGCATTAAGTAATGCATTAATTAAATATTGAACAGTGTGGGACTGAGCACACCTCCCTGTGGGGTTCCTAATTCAAAGTCTTAGTTACACTTCTATGTCCCTGGAACAACACAGACGATTTTCTGTTGGACAGGTAGCCTTTAATCCAGCGGAGAAGCCATCCTCCAACATCCATTCTGGCAAGTTCACTAATTATTACATGTCGGTTGGCTACATCGAAAGCGGATTTAAGGTCAAGGAAGGTAGTGTAGGAACTGTCAGTGTGCAGGGTGAGAAAGGTGGCTATGCAATGATGCACGCTCCTTCCATGCATGAAACCATGTAACCGGGGAGACAAAAATTGTTTGATTCTGTACATGAGACTCCAGCGGGAGACGAGAAGTAGAAACAGCAGAAAAATACTCATGGGAGAACCTGCTTCAGGAGAAGTCATTCTCAAGGAGATTTTTAACCGGCGAGGCAGTGTTACTGACCAGTGAGATAGTATGCTGATAACCCCTGACAGCTGAAGTACCCGGACAGAGAAGACGAGAGGCCGTCAACCTCTTGATAACGTTACCAGCTTACTAGAGGAGAGTCATGCCATCACATATTCACTCACACTCCACAGGAGGCTTCATTTTGGGGTTTATAACCCCAAAATAGCTCAAGGAAGCCAGTGTGGTTTTATTTTCGTTATCTATTTAAGTCCTGTGATGCGAGTACTGGAGGTGGATCAAGCCTC